CAACAAAGCAGGCAAGAAGGGAAACAAACAGACAACAATGTGCATTTGACCTCTGATCTCGCGAGCGGGCGGAGCGGCTGTCAGTCAGACCGGCGAATTCACACCTCTGCACGCGAAAGTTGACCTGGGCTGACCTCGGCCGCGTGACGTCATCAGAATAACCTGACCAGACAGCGTGGCGCCGTTGCACGTCTGGGCGAGTTACTGGACGATTAAGATTCAGGATTAATCGGTATTGATATCATTAGCAGGAAATTGTATGGATGTGCTACAGATAAGACTTGAAAAATGTGATAAAGAAAGATAGAAGAACATTTTGAGGAAAGATAGATAGAAAGACATTTTGAGAAAGAAGAGAGGAAAGGATAGACAGAGGAAAGATAGATTTTGAGGAAAGATAGAGAAAGAAAGATAGAGGAGGAAAAGATAGATAGAGGAAAGATAGATAGAGAGGAAAATAAAGAGAGGAAAGATAGAAGAGCAAAGATAGATAGAAAAACAATTTGAGGAAAGACAGATAGTAAGACATATATAGATAGATAGAAAGACAAAGGAAGATAGATAGAAAGCTGGATGTATATATAGATGGAAAAACGGTTAGAAAGAGAGAATAATCCACGAGAACGCAGTATATCAAGAGAGACATAAAAGATTAGCTAAACAAACAGGGATTTTATTAGAGATAAATAGAATATGATTATAAGCATTTTTCACCCGTTCTTCCCGCGAGGTCAGAAGGCGCCTGGATGTCTAGCGCGTTTGGTGGTGACGTCATGGCGAATTTCGCGTGACGTCATCGGGGAAGAGGTCAACGAAGGTCAACATCCCCTGCGGAGGTGTTAAGTGCCGGCTGGGAGTGACACTTGCTCCGCCCTGTGGTTCAGGTGAGCTAATTATGTAATGTGTCATCGGTATGGGATGGGGGGGGGGGTGTTTATGGGTAAATATACATAAATAAAATTACATGTCTGAAAAAACTCAATGTTACTGATTCACAAGTGTGTATGATCACCACATTCATAAACAAATTAAATCTTGATCATCAAATATGTTTCCCTAACAGTGACAAGCAACAAACATTCCCAGGTTTAACCTCCAAGGCCGTTCCCGCCATGGCTTCCTCCCTCTCCACCGTCTCCTCCCTCTCTCGCCCTGGCCTTCTCCCTCTCCAACCCTAGCTTTCCTCCCACCTGGCTTCTCCCTCTCCGCCTGGCTCCCTCCCCCCGCCCTGGCTTCTTCCCATACTGGCCTTCTCCCTCTTCCACCCTAGCTTCCTCCCTCTCCCTGGCCTTCTCCCTCTCCCTCCCTGGCTTCCTCCCACACTGGCCTTCTCCCTCTCCCTCCCTGGCTTCCTCCCTGGCCTTCTCCCTCCCCACCTGGCTTCTTCCTTCTCCCTCTTCCCCTCTCCTCCCTGGCCTTTCCTCCCTCCCTGGCTTCCTCCACAGCTTTCTCCCTCTTCCCTCCTCTGACCCTCTCCCGCCCCGGCCTTCGACGTCGTCCGCCGCCATCTGCCGCGCGAGGCATCCATAACAAAGTCCAAAAGGCTCAAACTCATTTTTGACAGGCGGACCGAAGAATTTTAGGATTGTGTCTAATTGCCCTCGCCTGCAGCCAGAGAGGAGAGCAAAGTCGCCCCCGAGACAGCAGGGGGCCGCAGCCGAACAATACTGAGGTCAGAATTAGGTATTTAATGACTTTTAAAACAGTGACCCTTCCAGCGGCGAAACAATACAGAGGCAATTTGAGGGAATGGACTGCGTTCGGACCTCGGCTCGCGGGGACGCCAGACTTACACTCCATTTCGGGACTCTTTTGTAAACAACTCTCTTCCATTCAAAAGATAAGGATGCTTACACCAATGAAAAGAAAAAGAAAACGGCAATAAAGCACAAAAAACGCTAACTCCACAAAAGACATTTGCCCAGATTTGAGCCGGGAGGCCAGCGAGCGCGCACCGAATCGGACGGAGGGAAGGAGCGTGTCCAACGGAGAGGGATATGGGTTAAACGCCGCTTCCAAAACCTCAATTTGCAGTTAAAATGTATTTTTCCCAGAGCGGTTCAATTGTCATTATTTATTATTGGGGATATTTCGGTTCGAGAGGCTACATACGCTATTTATCCACCGTATGGCGCTCGGACTGCGTTTATTTCTCTCAGTCGTGTTATGACATTAACGGTGAGCTGTTGCAGAGGGTCGCGTTTTGCTATCGCCGTGTGTGTTCAGGGCGGGCTGTGCCGTGGGTTTGCAAGGGCGGGGGGGGGGGGGGGGGTTGGTCCTTTTGTGTTAAGCTTGATATTCGCTCTTTTTATTCGTTAAGGAAATGGCCCGAAAATAAAATGCTACGAGAGTACACACACAAACACACACAGACATATATATATATATATATATATATATATATATATATATATATATATATATATATATATATATATATATATATATATATATATATATATATATATATATATATATATATATATATATATATATATAT